GGGGGGGTGTGCGTGTGGGTGTGGGTGGGTGTGCGTGTGTCTGTCTGTGGCAGTCCTCGCCATAACAGGACGTTGAAGGACACACACGACAAAGGAGGACACAAATGAGGACACAAAAGGACACACATGATACAGGAGGACACATATGAGGACACACACAGGAAGAAAAACACAACACAAAAGGACAGAATTGAAGACACAGGAGGACACACATAGGACACGGTGGGACATAGGAAGGGAAATGACACAGTTTCAAAGAGCTACATGAGAAGTGATTTTTAAAAAGGCACAAGGATATTATTGTTACCAATTTGAGATATAATATGCAGGTGCAAGAGCAAATATCACTGGATAGGTTTTAAAAAATTAATTATTTTCAAAATATCCAAAGGAAATTTCGTTAGCAGCAGGTGTATCAACCAGCATGAAAACCCTACCATATTATTATTCTCTTCTGTGTTAACACTAGTGAACAGTTGGAAAACGACGCACAGAATATCCAAGCACTAATGATGCCTGGTCTGAACGGATGCTTTATTTACCTCTGTAAACGTATTAGGATCTGGGGGTGATACGTCGAAATGTTTTCAGTTTGCTGTTTCTGTTTAGTGTTTCTGATTTTTTGGTTTTGTTTTTTTCGTTCTGGGTTGTTTTTTTTTTTTTGAAAGGGTACTTTGTTCGCCTATCTTATATGTACGGTGGTGGTTTCGCTAGTTTGTTTTGTTTAGTTAAGTTATGTTTTGATTTTCTTGTAAGGGGAGTGGGTCAATTGGGGGAGGGGGGGGTGGAAGTATGGTTAACTTTTGAATGGGGCAGGACGGTTTTCCCTTCTTATTTTACAAAAAAGAGCTGCTATTCTACTCTTGTGCCTTTTTTATTTCACATACACAAATGACTTACTTTTGCGTCTTGGAGTATCTCCGGAACTCCGTTTTGCTGAAGTCTTGTAAACACGTGAGAGCCTGGGGCTCTGCGCTGATTCCCTGGGCGCGCCGCTTCCGCGGTCCGCTGATGAAGTTGGTCTGCGTCTGGGGGAGGACGGACTGAAACTTATCCAGCTTACTCTTAAGCTGTGTGATTTTCTCCTCTTTCTCCTCCAGGAGTTTTTGTAGCTCTTTGATTTTGTCATCTTTAGAGTGGAGTAGACGCTCCATCTCCTGCAAGCTACCCATGGTGATAGCGAGTTATTCTAGCGATGTGAACACGATGTTCTGTTGATGATAAAGCTGCGCTTCTCAAATTTTAACGAACAATGCAGATGACAAAGCCAGCTATAGAGCCATGCTGTGTTATATCTGCAGCAGAAAGATGCGTCAAAAAGTTGACGTGAAGCTCTTGCGTATTGTGGAAAACAGCGGTGAAAGAAACATAAATCCGACACTGAAATTGATGGTAACTTTTGCAGACTGGTATCCACTATCCACTCCGATGCCTTTGCGAAAAAGGTACTGATATCCGATTCTCAGAATCAACACACTGAACGTTACTGCATTTTACATAGAATATCAGATAATAATAATATCCAATTCTTAGAATTCTCCACAACAAATGCAGCTAACTGTCTGTTGGTAATATCCACTTCAGAGAAAGAACCAGTTACTACGATTTTCGAAGTATAAAACAGCTGACATCGTAAATAGAGTGGGACCTGCTATAATCCTGAAAACATCCGTGCTATATCAAATGACAAAACAGAAATGTGTGAATATTCAAGTCTCCAGACAAAAGATACAACATAAAGTGCTTTGAGGCAATTGTAAAATTTACAGAGAAGCCCAAAAGTATTTAAAATGCAATTATTTTTCTCCCGAAGACTGATACTCACGTCATTACTGATAGATGTTACATTAAGACTTAATCTCTGGTCAAAATCTACCATGAAGCAAAATAAATAAGGAGTCCACTAATGGACCCTAATTCACTGATGGACATATACAACGAGCAAGAAAGATCACGGAACCCGCTACAATCATAACGATAAAAAAATAATGATAATCATCATCATCATCATCATCATCATCATCATCATCATCATCATCATCATCATCATCATCTTCATCATCATCATCTTCATCATAATAAGAGCTCGTCCGTCAATGTCCGACGATGACCAATGCGTCTGCAGACCGCAGAGGAGAATATTTCTCCACCGAAATAGAAGAATTAACAGAATTAACGATTAAGATGACTTGTGGATTCGTCTGTGGCCGATGAGACGAATTCTGGTAGAGAAAAGTTTGCCATACTTTGAACATGATTTGCAGCCCACTCTGACTGCTGTGACGACTTGCAATATGTACAGTTAATACTCTTAGAAAAACTTTAGTAATGTTTCCTTTCACAGACATACGTTGTGGCGCGGGCTTCACTGGATAGGAATATAGAGGAAAAGCTAGAGTGCTTGAAGGCTTTAAAGATAATGTTGGAATAGAAAAATTGCCCGCCTTTTTAAGCTAGAAGAAAACATGTCGAAAAAGAGTGCTGTGATAAAGGATATACACAAGATGGGTATGCCGTCGTTGTTGAAATTAACCTGCATTCCCAAACCTAAACTTCATTATTGCTTGATAGACACGCTCTTAATAAACCGATTTTTTATGGCGTTGATATTAACAAGCGTGAACAAAAGTTTGCTTACAATGTGTGTCGCAGTCATAGCTATTACACGTTTAAATAAAAGATTGCTTACCAAACCATAAAATGTCGCCATCTTCGATATTATGCTTTTGCACAACGCTGAACCAATGTTTTTCTATAAACATAACACGCTATAAAGACTGCATGAAACATCAATGTGGGGTAACTGCTGGGGTCTTTCCTTTATAGAAAAATAGAACAAAATAAATAGTATAATAAATAACTTTACAAATCCATTGAATTACTAGCATAAACATCCGAAGCTCTCTTTATCTAGACAAGTAGTCTATGCATCATCAAACTCGAGCAAAGACAGAATTAAGTGTCTTTGAGTGACACGCCTTATTACATGTATTATACAGGCCTTGTGACCCTGGGCGTTGGTAGATAAAACATCCAACAATGACATTATCGACTCATCTCTGGTCAAAATGTGTGGGTATTTCAAGTGCAGATGTAGCAGTGTAAGAGGCGAAAAAAAATTATGTGGACTCCGGATGAGTTCATGAAGTGTCCTTGATCCACGTGTCTGTGTTTGCCCTCAAACCTTGTCACAGCAGATATTGGAAAAACACTTCAGGCTAGGAAAAAAATTATAATAAAAGCCAAAGCAAGGGGAGTTGAAGGCCAAACATTCGTTTAATTTTGTTCGTGTATTTTTGTAATCGTCAGAAATAAAAACGTTACTGCCTGTAAGTCGTCATTTGTTCGTCTGTGTGTGTGTGTGTGTGTGTGTGTGTGTGTGTGAGAGAGAGAGAGAGAGAGAGAGAGAGAGAGAGAGAGAGAGAGTACGTGTGTGTGTGTGTGTGTGTGTGTGTGTGTGTGTGTGTGTGTGTGTGTGTGTGTGTGTGTGGTGTATTTGTATGTGCGTGTGTATTCTTTTGTATGAGGTTAATTTTAACTGTACGTGCTTTACCGGAATATTGTAGTTTAAAACACGTAATATACTATATTACTATCATTTCGACCCTTGTGCGTTTACCACTTCTCCCATAGCAACACACACCACAGCAAACCCCACAAGCACGGCAGGTTTGATCGCAGCTCATTGAACAGGCCTTTATTACTGCGAGTTAAGAGTTTGGTTTTGTTGTTTGTTGTATTTTGCCCGGGTGGCTGCCGAAGCCTACTCTTATCGATTTAGGACCACAAAAGGATCGTTAACGTGCACAACTTGCACACGGACGGGACCTCCCAGAATTTTTGCCCTTATCCGAGAAGGATAAGTGTTAGATCTTAGATCAGTGGCGTGGCTGAAAGACAGCAGTATAAGTTACTGGGTAAGAAGGCGCCAAGGAGTAGCAGTAGAAAAGCTGCAGAAAGCGTCAGGAGCCCAAAGGGACGTTTGGGAGGCAGAAAGTGGAGGCGAAAGCAGACGATAGAACAGTGTTAGAGAGCAGGAAAGGAAGTGAAAGGAGAACAATTAAGAGAAAAAAAAAGTTTTCGCCGCTCTCCGGATTCTGACCCGGGGCCTATTGAAAGAGAGACGAACACCGTAACCTCTCAACCACGAGAGCCCCCAGTGCAAGTTTGACTTTTTTTTCACAAAAAAATATGTGTTTGTATCTGCACACGATCAACGAGTGGGAAAATAATATGCACTGAGCGGTGTATCGGCACACGGCGCGAAAAGAGTTTACGTTTCATCAGACGCAGGCTGGCCATTTCAAAAGAGAGTGCTCGGCCC